ACGTTTGAAGCCGCTGTGCAGAAATCCGTCTGTGCTCTCTATCTTTCGTTTTAGGCACATTCAAGCCTATTGTGACTATAACAAGCACCACCCTCTTAGCCCACAGCACCACCCTCTTAGCCCACAGCACCACCCTCTTAGCCCACAGCACCACGCTCGTACCCCTCAGCACCACGCTCGTACCCCTCAGCACCACCCTCTTAGCCCACAGCACCACCCTCTTAGCCCACAGCACCACCCTCTTAGCCCACAGCACCACCCTCTTAGCCCACAGCACCACCCTCTTAGCCCACAGCACCACCCTCATACCCCTCAGCACCACGCTCGTACCCCTCAGCAACACCCTCTTACCCCACAGCACCACCCTCTTAACCCACATGCACCACGCTTTTGTCCCTCAGCACCACCCTCTAAGCACTCAGCACCACTCTCATAGCCCTCATCACCACCCTCTTACCCCTCAGCACCACCCTCATAGCCCTCATAACCACCCTCATAGCCCTCAGCACCACCCTCATACCCCTCAGCACCACCATCTTAGCCCTCAGCACCACCCTCTTAGCCCACAGCACCACTCTCATAGCCCTCATAACCACCCTCATAGCCCTCAGCACCACCCTCATAGCCCTCATAACCACCCTCATAGCCCTCAGCACCATCCTCTTACCACTCAGCAACACCCTCTTAACCCACTGCACCACCCTCTTAACCCACATGCACCACGCTTTTGTCCCTCAGCACCACCCTCATAGCCCTCAGAACCACCCTCTTAGCCCTCAGCATCACCCTTGTACCCCTCAGCACCACGCTCGTACCCCTCAGCACCACCCTCAGACCCCTCAGCACCACCATAGTAGCCCTCAGCAAACACCCTCTCTCATAGCCCTCAGCACCACCCTCTTACCCCTCAGCACCACCCTCGTACCCCACAGCACCACCCTCATAGCCCTCAGCACCACTCTCGTAGCCCTCAGCACCACTCTCATAGCCCTCATAACCACCCTCTTAGCCCTCAGCACCACACTCCTAGCCCACAGCACCACCCTTAGCACCACTCTCATAGCCCTCAGAACCACCCTCTTAGCGAGTTAGCACCAACCTCGTAGCCCACAGCACCACCCTCATAGCCCTCTTTCCACTCTCATAGCCCTCTGCACCACCCTCATACCCCTCAGCACCACGCTCGTACCCATGAGCACCACCCCGTTACCCCTTATGCACCACCCTTTTGCCACTCAGCAACACACTGCACCCCGTCCCCTACATGCATGTGCCGTATAATGACGGGAAAGTAGTGATTCGTCTTTGGCTCCCACCACTCCCCTGTGTGTGCCGGGCAGGAGAGGCAATAGAAAGGGTATGGACGTGGAGGGGAAGGGATTGTGGGAGAAACGTACTGATTGCTCTGACTTTGGCCCCGCCACCACTCACTTTTCCGCGCCTGCCACCACCGTCGCCACGCACGCGTGCCGAACACTGCCCGTCAAGGCGCAAAGGGACGGGGAATTATTAGTAGGCATTGCGGGGAGGGCGCGGCGGAGTGGAAGGGACGTAACTGGAGTACAGGGAAACGCACGCGGCAAAAAAAGGACTGCGTAAAGGACTGTGCGTTCTCAAAAACAGTCCCAATAGGTAGAGAGGAAGCTAAACCAGTACATTTCGTTGAGACTGCAACACGGCCGCAACCGGTGGCAACGCTAGGAACGTGTAGAAAATCTGGGGTTGAATTCGACAACCGGGCGTTATTATAAAAACGTGCGTGGAGTCCTACGTTAGAGCACCGAAGCGGTGCACGGTAACTAGAGCGGGGTGAGTGGAATCGAGGCTGGGCCAGGTCTACCGCGTGTGGATGCAAAGACGGCGGCACGGAATCCCACTTAGTGAGGGAAGTGCTATTTTCAAGAAACATGTGAGAGTGCAAACGCGACGCGTGAGTTACATTTGGAGAGTTCAAGAGGGTGAAGACGGTTGTAGCGAGTTCACGCAACAAGCGTCAAACTTTGCAAGGCATGGGAGTAGACGATGTACAAAATAGAATCGCTCAAAACAGCGTACGCATTACAGAATCGCACGTTCAGCTCCTCAAGCGTGGAGCATCGGGGCTGTGAATGCTACTGAGAGTTATTCAAGACACATCGCGTCATGGGGGGAGGTGAGTATTCTCACGAAACGCGGCTGCGTTACCACCTGATCCACTTTGTTCTTAGTGTTATGCGCACAAGGATGGGGCGGCTGTTAGCCACTTGAGTATAATTGTTGCAATCCGCTTATAACGCACATCTGGCGTAAGACAAAATGAACACGCCCTGGATCCGAATCTTGCTCCAATGTCCCTCGGTTTATGAAGTCTGGTTATTCTTGGGTCGAAGTCGATTGTGAGCAGCATTCGCAAGTTTCTTGGCTACCTCTCTGACTACTAGCAGCATGTTCAATCCAGCAAAGGAAAAGTACCGTGAGGAGTGTCTTGGCCACCAGAATCCATGGGGGGCAAATCGTGGTCCCACATGGCCTTTAGACCATCCGCCTACTAAGCGCCCTAAAACGACAGAAGAATTACTTCGCGATTATCCTGAGCTTTCCAGTGTTTGGATTCAAAGTGAGTTTCTCCGTTTGAACGCGTTATGTAAGGCCGTGACCCCTAGTATTTTAGAAGAGAGCCTACGCTGTCTGACGACACGCAGTCGCACTGCCGCACACTGCGTTCGCGGGAACGTACTCAAAGCGATCGGAGAGTTTCGAGGTCGCTATGACGTGACCTCGCTCACCGAGGTCGAGAAACTATCCATTATCACGCTGTACAATGACGAACAAGACTTCTTGTTGCGCCGCCGTTACATCTCAGCATTCAGGGACCTGGCAGCAGATTTTCGCAACGTCAACTACGATGCGACGGGGGAGTCGACGCTAAGTGCCAACATGCAACCATCGTACCACTACAGGACATATCTCATGGACTTCGCCATGAGCGAATGATGGGTGGTAAGTTTTCCACGTTCACTTCTAGCATTCGGTAGTTTACCTATTGGATATTCATGTTTAAAGAACCTACTGTCGAGCTTTGTCACCAGGTGGAACGAGGGATGTATGACCGCGAAGGCGAAAGAGATGCGCGGGTCGTGTTCCAGCATGCACGCTTGCCAGGGCGAAGGGGCAACGAGACACCTAACTACATGCATGTTGGTGGAAAAGACGGCATGCCGGTGGGGGTATTGTCTCATGCACTAGGTATGCGTGCTTGGTGGGAGCGTCCAGGACTGAGTACTAGGAGTTGGCGCTACGTTGAAGGGTGTAACCTCCTAGTATACCCCTGGCGTCACCCAATTGGGGACTCTGGAGACGAAATTATCCATTGTCTTGTGCCGCAGATGTTCGGTAAGAGCGCATAAGTTTACTATTAATGAGAGATTTGCTGTTTTCCCTTTACCCTTGTATTTATCTGGTAGTGGGATGGAATAACTTCTGAGAGACTTGTTACAATATCGAGGCATCAACTAAAAGATCTGATGCGACGACTATCCGGAATTCCGCGGTTGTCTGGGCCAAGACGTGTCAGCACGTCGAATGGCCAAACACAGCATAACGGGGTCCCTTGATACGATCCCATGTACACCTGGCAGGCAAGCTCACCACAAGCTGATAGGAGAAGCGGCATGTGATTGAAAACAGGGCAATGCACGCGTCTATGTAGATTCTAGAGTTCTCTAGAACTCTTGACCTGGAGAGTAGAGAACAACAGTGAAGGGTTCTGAGCAGAAAAAACATTTATGAAGTAACCCGAGCAAATGAGATAACACGCGCAAAACCAGATCGCCCGCAAGTGTATTTAAGAGACATCCCGCGTTGGATAAGCGGAAAAAGCAGAGAGGTTTACTCACACGAAACAAGTGTCTCTCCAGCGCGGAAAGTTCTGAGACTGGAAAACAAGAGCAAAACTCGCCGTATCTTTCCCAGGTAGAAAAAAAGAAAAGCAAAGGTTAACGGCCTAGCCTCTAGAATGCGCCACGCACAGCGCTCACCGTCCGCAAAATTCAAATCATTTCACCGCATGCGGACAGTGATGCGCGACAAAAATACACCCAGTTTCTGTACTGCAACACTCCCCCCGTGGTTAGCGAAGCTCAGGTTCAGCGCATATCATAGATGCCCAGAGACCCACATGGAGATTTCGCTGTATGGGTAACGCCAGAGATCGGCAGCCGAGGCATAGAGTCACGTAAGAAACACAAGGAAACAGCAGTCGAGGATATGTGACCCCTTAGACACACTCGCCATCTACGAAACCTTGCTACGAAGCAGCATCCAAGTTCCTATTCTCATGTACATGGAGAGAGTCCTGCATATGCGACGGCCAGTAGCGTGCAAAATCAAAGTACCGCGCGCAATCATTCTGTCGGTGCGAGACGAAGATGACTTGGATCTCGAGAAGCAGAGTGTCTAGTTCCTAGCATCTGCACTTCTTGAAATACACGCTAGGCTCGTACGTCCGCGCTGCGAGCAAAGGCTAGAGCGAAGTCATATGCTGTATTTAACCAAAGACAGGAGGTCAGTGAGGACAGTCCAACCCAAGGTTTGCTCGAAGTTAGCACAATGTATCGGCAGAGATCTCCTTGCCCGCCAGCCGTTCGCACTTCATCTCGCCCCGTCACATCGCGTCAGTCGTTTGATCCAGCATTCGTTTACTACAAGCCTAACTCAAGGAGGAAGGATTTTGCACGACAGGAGATCGAGTGCATACTGCGCGGCCTGTTACTCAAAACCGTGAGGCGGACACCAACGACACCGGATACGCAACTTGGGCCGCCGAGATTGAACACGAGGACGATGCGGGTGGACAAGATGGAGACTACAACCCCATGGACGAAGAGTACGAAGGTGAGTGAGCATAACGCAGATGAAAGGGGATTTTGTGGCTCGTGTTGCGGGATATGATGCGCCAGCAAACCGCACATCCAAGCATCTAAACATTTATTCATGGCATAATTCCACACCCCGACCTACAGAGTCGCCGCGCCATCAACGACCCGTCTCTGCGGTAACTGACGCTGCCCCGCGAGCACCCTCGGTCGACCGCGACGGGTTACCGGCGAGCGCCCGTTCCGGAGGGAGAGGACCCGTTGTACCGCCAAGTCGAGCCAGCCAGTCGCGTGCACGGTACACCCAGGAGTTCGTCGACTCTCTCCGCGCACGGATTCAGGCACAAGACCTGCAGATTCTGCAGATGAACGGCAATAACCAGTCCGGAACGGCCCAGACGGAGGAACGTGCGCCGAACGACGAGGCACCCACTAAACGAGCAAAGCATTCCGAGCAAAGAGACGCCGCTGCGCGAACCGGGCGCAGAGAGGAGACCCATTCCAACCCCCACCCGAGTCTTGTTTATCCTCCCATGCAGTTTTCGACTTTCGTGCACGAGGCGATGCAGCAGGAATTCCCAGGGCGCTACGCCGAGCATCTTCCCATGAGCGAAGGCATGCATTGGTGGGTCGGAACGCTGATCGATGCGGACCGTGCTCTGCCGAAAGTGAAGTTTGGACTCGAGGTACGAATATAAACACGACCGTATCCATTTGTAGACCGTCAAGGCATGTGATCGGCCCGTTAGCTCGTAACCGCCGGACACTCGCGAAGAGCGGCGGGTACCCGTGTCATTAACACCTCCCCCCCCATGTGCTATACTCACCTCTCAACCCGTGAACACGGCCGCAGGATAAGGTAGACAAGGCACAGCAGTTTCTCCTGCACGAAGTACCGGATGCGGAGATGTCGTATTGGCCTGACGAAGGCCTCGTTGTTCGCTCCATGGCACACGCCATGGAGTTCACGAGCAAGGAAGATCTGTCGCGGGTCCATCTTGTGTTCGAGCGGGACCGAGCGCGCAGCAAGTGCTTCAACACTCACATGCAGAAGCTGCGGTCCGACATTTGGGCCGACGCGCGAGCGCAGTTTCGAGTGCGCAACGGACTGCCATATACAAAGCCAGTGACCTCGCGCGTGGTTCCACCGGCGACGCCCGACCCAACGGTGGTTGAGCCCATCACAGACGAGCAATTCCCACGGAAGTATGCCTCGAGTAAGTTGCACATAAGTGTCCATTGGTGCTGCTCCACGTGTCTCTCGGGAGTTGGAGCGCACATGCTGCAAATGCTCAAGTCCACATTGTATTCACACCCGCCACCACTACACCACTACACCAGCCATGACCACCATCATCCACACTAAACACTCCCCAAATCGACACGACTCTCCGTGCTTACTAAACCCGCACTTGCATTCCCCCACTCACATGGCACTCTCATTCCTCGACTCCGCCTGTTGCTCGTGCTTTCACAGGTGCCACTACCCACGACCTGATGCCGTGGCATTGCCACGAAGACACGCCGGAGATTCCTTTCTCGAAGGAATACTTTGATCTCGGCATCTACGCGACCTTCAAGAATGGAGCGGCACCCCCACTGGTCTTGAAGCTATACCAAGTAGCCTTTTGGCTCTTCGGGGTAAGCAAGTACAGATTCCCCTTCCTTAAGTAGCATAACTTAAGCACGCAGGCAGCTATACGTACTAACACCCCGTGACAATTTCATTCGTCCAAGCAGGTCGAAACGCCACTTCTGAAGAAGGCGGCACTCAAGAAAAGCCGCCCCCAGAACGGGAGGACGGTGCAGTGGTATCACTCACGCCTGAAGGCGTGGGCGCGGCACGCCATTCTTGAGAGGAATCAGGAGCACGGCCCCTGGTGGAAGACCACACAGAAGGCCTGGGCTTTCAAGCACCGGGCCTTCGTCGTCATATCTGACGACGGGATAGACCTGGCTCCCCGTATCACGTGATTTAACGCGGCGGCGGCAGCAGCTGCTGCAGAAGTGGCTGCAGGGCTGGAAGGGCAGATAGACGTTGAGGCATTGGCAGCAGCACCGGCGCAGGCGACAGAGGGGGTGGCAACCGGGCAGGGGGGCAGCAGGCAGCAGGAGGCGGGAGGATCGGGCTGGAAAGACAACGAATGCAGGAGCAGCAGCAGCAGCAACAACAGGCGGAGCAACATCGGCAGGAGCAGGGGCAGGGGCAGGGGCAAGGGCTGGGCCTGGGGCAGCAGCGGCTGGGGCAGAGGCAAGGGCAAGGGCAGGGTCTGGGGCAGTAGCAGCAGGGGCAGAGGCAAGCGCAAGGGCAGGGTCTGGGGCAGCAGCAGCTGGGGCAGAGGCACGCGCAAGGGCAGGGTCTGGGGCAGTAGCATCTGGGGCAGAGGCAAGCGCAAGGGCAGGGTCTGGGGCAGCAGCAGCTTGGGCAGAGGCACGCGCAAGGGCAGGGTCTGGGGCAGTAGCATCTGGGGCAGAGGCAAGCGCAAGGGCAGGGTCTGGGGCAGCAGCAGCTTGGGCAGAGGCACGCGCAAGGGCAGGGTCTGGGGCAGTAGCATCTGGGGCAGAGGCAAGCGCAAGGGCAGGGTCTGGGGCAGCAGCAGCTTGGGCAGAGGCACGCGCAAGGGCAGGGTCTGGGGCAGTAGCATCTGGGGCAGAGGCAAGCGCAAGGGCAGGGTCTGGGGCAGCAGCAGCAGGGGTTGGGGTTGCCTGAGCGGCTGGCAGCTTTTTGGGCGGCGATAATTCAGCAGACGGGAGTAACTGAATCGGGTTGAGCGGACACATCCGTACAGTCAGCAGCAGTAGTGCCAGCAGAGCCAGCCGCAAGACTTGGCTGGCCAGCGGCAGCAACAGCAGCAGCAGCGGCGGCAGCAGCAGCAGCAGCAGCGGCAGCAGCAGCAGCAGCAGCAGCAGCAGCAGCAGCAGCAGCAGCAGCAGCAGCAGCAGCAGTGGCAGCAGCGGCAGCAGCAGCAGCGGGAGACGCAGCAACAGCCGGACCGGCAGCCGGGGCAGAAGTTTCAGCGGCGCTTGCAGCAGCCTAAGCAGCCCCCATTGGAAAGAAGTACCAGCTCCTTATGAGAATTAGGCAGCACGGTCATAGCAGGTGCGGATGACGGCACCTTAGGAAGCCAATAAGACAGCAGGGTGGAATGACACCGCTGGTGTCACTTGTCCACACGGAAGCTGATTAGGGATGCTTGATAGAATAATATGCCGTGCTCAACCTGCGTGTGTGCTGCAACGATTGGGATGTGTGATTGCTTTGGCAGAAGTACTCAAATGGTGTAGGCAGGCTAGGATATATGAGTACGCGTGCATGGATGTTGTCAATTCCCACCTGCATATGAATAAATTGCCTTGTATTTTCCTGGATGACGCTCCATGTATACAACACGACAGGCGAAGCTATACAACCTGCATATGGGCAATGAGCAAAGCAAGGTCCTTTTTCAGTTTGACAAAAGCAGCATTAATATAAACATTGCAAATAGTAGGAAACATAATTATAACTTCAATCTAAGCAGTGAGATCTACAGTGCACACAAGCTTTATCTTAAGTAATACAAAATGGTTACTTAATCGGGGGTAGAATTTGTGAATATACCTTATCAAAAATTATTTCAATTCTTGGTTACCAACGATGTAACAATACACGATTTCGCTACAAACAGACAGCCAATCGGGCACCGAACCTTTCGGTTCGATTTCCCGAGCAAGAGGTAACAGAGTCACCTCGAACACCGACCTGCGCGTAAGCTGAGGGTCACAACGGGGGGAAGATGTGAACTTTGACCATAGCCCGAGTAGCACCTCGAGCTAACCTCCAGAGAGGTTACCTCGGGGCGACATTAGGGTTAGCTCAAACTAACATCCAAGGCCCAAATTTTTTGAGACGAACCCACCCGTTCTTACTCCGAACCTAAACCTTATCGGAAGCGCTCTGTTAAACCGACTTCTGAGTCGTCGTCCTCCCGCTTCCTAAAAAGCGATCTCGATGGCAAGTCTGTCTCTGCTGGCTTCCAGCACGGCTGCTGGCGCTACAAGCAACAGCGATTTCAGCAGCAGGGACAGACGGCCGAACAGCGACACCAGGAGGCTCCGGACGACCAAAAAAGGCTTCAGCCCGTTCTTCGCTGCTTACAGAATCGGTAGATTCGACGAGGAACAGAAGGGAGTCCAGCAGAGGTCCTTCCGTAGGCCTCCTGGCTTCTCCCCGCTGCGTCCAGCTGCTGTGAATGCTGTGGTGAAAGCTGCTGCTCAAGCCGCCTGTGATCTGCCACCAATGCAAAAACAGGCGACAGAGCAGAAGACAAAGCAACGGTCACTGAAATCGGTTTCACTGGCTGCAATTTCAAGCATGCCTTCGAAGATCCCAAGGCTTGCTTGCTCAAGAACGTCCGTGGAGGTCCCTGAGGCGAGTGCTACAAGCAGTACCAGATCAGCAAGAGTTACTGAAACTGGAAGCTCTTTGGCAGAGAAGGGGTTGTCAAAGTTGCAACAAATGAAGGTGATGTTTGAGCTTTCCAGATTGACCAAAACGAAAATATCTACGCCTGTTGCTGCTGTTGCCGCATGAGCTACACAAAAGGGAGGAAAGGCGAAGCTGGCTGATGACTTTCTGTTGCCAGCACGTTGTTTCTGTGATGGCTAGCCTTCAGGCGGTGCTGGCACAGAGACAACAGTAGCATAGTATATTAGGTGTTTCATAGTATACCAAATTGGTAGTTATAGCTTGTACATAATTCTCCTGTACAATATGTTATTGCACGTTATTGTCCTGAAGGGTGGTGAAGGATGCTCAATAAGTCACGATCTTGCAGAAATATGTGCATGTGGAAAACATATACAGCACTCTTCTTTCTGGTGTGTCCACTGGGTTCCCCCCTCCATTTCCCATCATTTGTATTTTTCCCATCTTTCCCCACTACACCCTAGTTATACTGCCAATCGCCTTTCATGTCTCTTCCAACTTTTTCTGTCTTCCTGCTCCTCCCTCCTTTGGGCCTGATGATTGCAATGGTTATTGCAATGGTCCTTTGTCGGACAGTGACATCAACTCATTCTGGTAAATATTCCAATGACTTGATTAATGACAGAGTTCAGTCAGTCTCTAATTCCAGTCTAAATACCCAGTTCAATTACTCATTCCAAATCTGACTCCAGTGATTTGTCAAAATGACGCAATCAGTCAATGAGTGCAGTAACTGATTCCAGTAACTTTCGTTGTTGACTTAGCCCAGGTCACTGATTCCAAACCAGTGTTTCAGTTACTAAATACAGTGGCTTGCTTCAGTGACTCGTTCCACTTAGTCACAAATTCCAAAGACTCGTTTTAGTAACTTGATCTATTTACCTGATTTCATTGACTTGTTTCGGTGACTAATTTCAGCGCCAAACTTTGTGCCAGTGATTCAGTTCCAGTGAACTAATTTCCTTGATTAATTTCACCGACTGACAGCAACCTGTTTTCAGTGACTCGTTCCAGTCACCGAATATCATGAGTAGTTGCAATGGCACATTTCAGTAATGGATTTGGTCAGTTGTTTCAGTGACTCATTCCAACCACGACTCACTGATTCCAATGCCTTGTTTCAGTGAAAGATTCCAGTCACTGGTTTCAGTGACTTTTTCCATCCAGTGGTTTGTCACGTCACTGACTATGGTGGCTTATTTCAGTGACTGAACTGAATCTACTGACTCGTTCCAGTTACTGACCGAAGTAACCTATTTCAGTGTCTCCTTTGGGTCAGTCACTATTTTCATGTACTTATTGCTCGCACCAATAAGTGAATCCAGTGACTTGATTAGGTGACATGTTCAGTCATAGAGTGCCGTTAATTCTTTCAGCGACTCGTTCCAGGCACTGATTCCATGAGTTGTATTTCATGCTAGGTGATTCCAGTCATTGGATGTCATTGCCTTGTTTCGATGACTCATTTCAGTCGCTGATTCCAATGACTCGTTTTACATTCTAGCTGATTCCAGTCATTGGATGTCATTGACTTGTTTTAGAGTCACTAAACCCACTTTCTCCATCTCAATTCTTCACTCCAAGCAGATTTGTGGTGTCAGATATGAGTGCAGCAAAGGGGGTGGATAATGCAGGTTGAGTGAGAGACAGCATAGCAACCGTGCACTTTGAGAAGCAACAACAGGCGACACAGCAGGAGAAGAAGCAACGGCCATTGAATTTGGCTTCGCTGTCTGCAATTTCAAGCATGCCATTGAAGATCCCAAGGCTTGCTTGCTCAAGGACGTCCGTGAAGGTCCCTGAGGCCAGTGCTACGAGCAGCACCAGATCAGCAAGAGTTACTGAAACTGGAAGCTCCTTGGCAGAGAAGGGGTTGTCAAAGCTGCAACAAATGAAGGTGATGTTTGAGATTTCCAGATTGACCAAGGCGAAAATCGTTGTGCCTGTTGCTGCTGTTGCCGCATGATCTGTGGGGGAAGGAGGGAAGGCGAAGCTGGCTGATGGACCTCTGCTGGAGGTTGATGGCTAGCCTTAGGGCGGTGTTCGCATAGGTTCAATAGCAATACCTGGGGTATGTGTTATATTATGCTGGATGCCTCATTGGGCGTTGTACATAGGTTAGTTATATATGTATGATACTGTCTTGCACTGCATCTGTATATATGAATGAAAA